ATAATAATAATAATAATAATAATAATAATAATAATAATAATGCCAATGATGCATGCGCGTCTATATGAATATGTAACGACTTTCGAAACTAAAACATGCGACGAAGATTAAATTGTAATTGCTGACGACGTAAGTAAAAAACATACCTTATAGGCAATATATGGGTATGTCTGTAAGTCAATTTTTGCGTGAATTTTATAAAATAGCCGCCAAAAAACTTTTTACAGGCTGTACCGCGCGCACTTTTTGCATTACTGGACAAAGTGGCAGAGCTGCTGAATCCTCCACAAGGGCGCTCCATCAACAAATCAGATGTGCGACAGTTCGCTGATCCTGAGCGACGCCTGCAGTTGGCATCTACAACACATGACATTTCGATGCTCTCTTCTGGCATTTCAACCATGCAGTTGACTTCACTTGGCTCCCTCCGAGTCGATCCATCGAATTTACTTCTGGATGGCATTAGAAAGTTAGTTCGGTCTGTGTTTACAGCTAAGGGATGAAACACACAGAGAGAAATTGCATTATAAAATATCACCTTACTACTACTATAACTAAAGGATGAAACACAGTTTGTACCGTAAAATATCACCTTACGCATGACGACTGAGTACAGTCCCTCTGATCTACTATTTAAGTTGCGAGACTGAGGAAAATAAAGAGAATGAAAAAACTCAACACTGACGGTTTTCAACTAAGTATTTGAAGCAGATGTGCTTGGAATACTTGGAGCATTTGTTACGTATAGTATGAATTTCTGCCTATGCGGCGCCGGTAATTTCACCAGTTGATCTTTGACTGTTGTTGATCAATTCGCTAGGGATTCTTACGTTCATTTTGTCTTCTGAAGGGATTACCAGTTCAGCGATTCTTCTGACAGATACGCTTTGAAGGGCTTATGCCGTTTTAAGATTCCTTTCATAAGTGTTGAGCTTCTCCACTTAGTCCTGAAAGTTATTCTGTGTTTGCAGTTCAGGGATGAAACACAGGCGTCATCCAATGCAAATACCGGCTAGCTTAAATGAGGTTGTATAATTTGGCTTCACCAATATCAAATAAACAAAGTCGACTGCCTTATTCCTCTTTCCTCTTGTCGCTGCACCTTGCCAGCAGCATTGCTACACTTTCCAATACTTATAGTTTCTAGAACTAGATGAAATTCTTTAACATCTGAGGGGAAATAAGAACGAGATGGAATAGATCTTTATGGCATTATAGCGGCAAAAATAAAAGTATTGAAGGAATAAAATACCTGAAATATTTGTGTTATTCTTTTCCTCTTCGCCTATTTCTCACAGTAATCATTTAGGGAACTTGTGTGCCAGATTTGTGTAACACTTCATTCGCATTTAACATCCGACATGAATCTCGATGATTTGCTGGACAAATTGCGGAGTCGATTTGCACGTTTACGGGGCGCTTTCATCTATATGTGTGAGCATATTGCAATCAACGGAGCTGTAATATGGCATATCGAGCTGGCTCGCGTTATCAACTATATGCTCGAGAAAGAATGTAACGCTTTCGTACGGCATCCGGTATGCTTCTTTACAGTTTCAAATCTGAATGCAAATCAAGCCATCATGATGGGTGATTTTTCAAGTTTCAGTAATCTTTGGTGTATAAAGGTTTTTCAAAAAAATTAAAATTAAACCACCTTTTGGAATCTTTTACGGATTTCACCGTTTTGCTCTGTGAAAAAGAAGTTGATGGACTAGCGAACAAATTTGAGTCTTCATTACAAATATCGCCACAACAGAGGAT